GTGAGCCAACAATAATTTTATTAAAGCGTTGATAAAAGTTTCAAACGTTTTTTTTTTTTTTTTTTCCCCGGGTTACGTTATCATACACATATTGCTATCATTTGATATTCTGGAATTTTGGGATTGAGATTGAGGTATTGGGAGATTTTTGTGAGGGTCTCAATTAGAAACGGAAATTTTTGGGTCCGGTTTATTTTTTATTTTTTATTTTTTTTAAATAGGATCAGATGTGGGTTTTTGGTTCTCACGTGAGAGGCACATACATTTCCCCTTCGTATTTTAACAGATTTTAACATATGTTAACAAAATGTGTTAGGCCTCGTTCATTTCGCGGATTCGAGTTTTTAATTTGAGTTGAGATGTGACATTTTCAGAGAGCTTTTCACTGAAGTAAAAAAAGTTAGATGTGATATTTTATGAGAGCTTTTTACTGTAAAAATCTAAAACTGAAAACTCGAATCGGTAAAATGAACGAGACTTTAAATTGCAAAAGTTTAACAAGTTTCGGGAACAAATTTAAGGGCAATTTGCTGGAACGGATAAAGTTTCGAGAACAATTGTGTTAAAAATTCATTTAGATCACTCCGTTCATTTTACCGATTTGAGTTTTATTACAATAAGAAACTCTTAGAAACAATAATATTTTATTTTTTTATTACAGTAAAAAATTTTCACATAAAATCACATATTAATTTGAATTAAAACTCAAATTTTTGCAATGAAAAAAAAAAAACCAAATGAAACGGTGAGTTTCAATTTCATCAACTGTTGATGTTGGCGTTCATTATGAATGGATGGAAGAGCACAGGGATGATAGATATATGCGGTGTGTATTTATGGTTCTCTTACTCTAGTATCATCTAGGCCAATCCATGGACGCCCTGCACTACTTTCAGGCTAACATGGCTTCCCGCCATAACATCTCATTATCATCATCATCATCTTCTTCTTCTTCTCTTTCGACCCCAAAATCCCTCTCTGCTTTCAGTCCCATCAACCTCTCCAAACATGTTAATGGTAGC